TATAGTTAGAAATCAATTTAGTTTGTGTTTTTAAAGCATTTTGATTCTTTTGGTTTGTCTTAGTGTTTTAACGTTTAGTTTCACATTCTTTGAGTCTAGTTTAACGTTTTATATTGTTTTTACGTTTTAGTTTAAATTCGTCCAAATCCAATTCCCCCCTATTTCGTTGAAGTCTTAGTCTTAATCTTTCTTATTTTTAGTTTTGCTTTCTTCGAGCATTAAATAGTGTTTTATATTGTGTTTTTATGTTTTTAAGTCAATTTAGAAGGTTTTAGCAAGCCCTCCTAATCCCCGGTCTAGAACGATCCCTCACTTATCCATTCTACTACAATTGTCAAACGAGGGTTTAATTTGAGTGTCAAGTAATTCTCGCATCAGCTAGCAATACTAGGGCCAGAAGAAGGAACAGAGGTAACCATGGGAGAAGAGGCAGGGATCAAATAGGATTTTTCAAGAAGAAGGAGCCTAGACCTAGGTGATACCATGTAGAAAATGATTTTCCCTTATTTTATTCATTCACATAATTACATGATATATAGAACACATTTGATACAATAATTAATTACAATTGAAATCACCAAGTCAACCCTATACAATCATTCTAAATTTAACGCAATCAAGAGGATTGGGGAGAGATATGTGGAGATGATGGAATCTCGCTAACATATACTAACCGTGAAAAATGAAAGGAAACCTTGGAATCCTCTCTGATATATAAATACGACAACCACAACAACACTCGGCTATCAAATTAAAACAATATAAACAAAGGCAGAAGAGGAACTTATAGAAGTAAGCTTTCTGATTCTATGGAATTTGGGCATGATAAATTCTGTGCTTTTAATTTGAAGTTGGTATTTTCCAAAAATTGTCAAAGAGGAGAATAAGAGATTTCAAAGAAATGTGCAGAGCTCCTACTGAGAGCAAGCACAGATATTTTCATTAAATATCAACACAACATTTTTCTCTTACAAGCTATATCAGCCCTTGATTCATAAACAGAAATCTAAAGCATACACTTGTCCTATGAGACTAAGCATTCACTTAATTGTTGGTTCCTTCCTTCTCAACCATTAGATCAAAACCAAATTTTATTTAATTCCAACACTCCCCTTTAAATGAATTTTGGTTTTGATCCCAAGCATTTTTCTGAGATAGACAAATCTTTCTTTTGGTAAAGCTTTGGTGAAGATGTCTGCCATTTGATCCTGTGATTTGCAGTAGATCAGTTCAATGGTATTCTCCTGCAAGGCTTCCCTTATGAAGTGAAAATTCCTTTTGATATGCTTAGTTTTCTGGTGAAAAAAAGGATTTTTGGTCATAGCTATTGTTGATATGTTCTCAAACATAAGTGGTGTAGCATCCACTTGCATTTCACCAAAATCCTTTAACACAAACCTCAACCATATAGCTTGAGAGGTAGCCATTGCAGCACTCACATACTCTGCCTCAGCCGTAGACAATGCAACACTTTGTTGCTTGATAGAGGCCCAAGAAAATATTCCAGAACCAAATGCAAATGCATATCCTGAAGTACTTCTCATGTCATCTTCACTTCCACCTCAATCACTGTCACAGAAGCCTACTAGGATTGCTTCTTCTCCCTTCTCATACTTGATTCCATAGTCCAAGGTCCCTGAGATATACCTGAGTACTCTCTTGGCAGTTCCCATGTGAATTCTTGTGGGATTATGTATAAACCTTGATAAAAGACTGGCTGCATACATAATGTCAGGCCTTGTGGCAGTCAAGTAAAGTAGACTCCCAACCATTTTTCTGTATAGGCTTTCATCAGCAGGTTCAGAACCATCCATTTTACAAAGTTTCTCATTTGTGATCAATGGTGTTGCCACAGATTTGCATCCTTCTAGATTGAATCTTCCAAGCAATGATTGTGCATACTTCTGTTGATGTATGAAAATTCCAGTAACTTCTTGTATTACTCCAATTCCCAAGAAGTGATGCAACAAGCCAAGATCCGTCATCTCATATTGTCTCATCATGTCTTTTCTGAATTCTTCAATCATTTCTTCACAATTACCAGTAAAGACCACATCATCAACATATATAGACACAATAAGCATATCAAAATTCTCACCAGTTTTTGTATACAAGGTAGCTTCACTAGGACTTTTGTTAAATCCACTTTTGCTGAAATAGGAGTCTATCTCACTGTACCAAGCCCTGGGGGCTTGTTTGAGTCCATACAGAGCCTTGTTTAACTTATACACACTCTCTTCTTCATTTGGAACTTCAAAACCTTGTGGCTGATCCACGTACACTTCTTCCTCCAGAGTGCCATTTAGAAAGGCTGATTTAACATCTAACTGGTGAAGTTTCCATCCCTTTTGAGCAGCAAGAGCAACCAAGATTCTAATGGTGTCTAACCTTGCCACTGGGGCAAAGGTTTCATTGAAATCTACCCCCAGTTGTTGTGAGTAGCCTTTGGCAACCAATCTTGCTTTGTTCTTCTTTATAGGTCCATCCAAATTCAATTTGGTCTTGTAGATCCACTTGACACCTATCACATGTTTATCACTTGGTCTATTTACCAATTTCCAAGTAGAGTTTTTCTCAATCATAGCAATTTCTTCACTCATTGCTTTCTGCCAAGATTGATCCATTTCAGCTTCTTCAAAACTTTCTGGTTCAGCAACACAATAGTTACAGACTGCATAGATCTCATCTAAACTCCTCATTCTTAATGGAGTTGTTCCTGGGGAGGAATCATGCAATTCTTATCCTTCTGCATTTGAAGTAGTGGACTAAGATCCTTGTGTTGGTGTTGAAAAGTCATTTTGACTTCCATCCTGTATAACAGGTTCATTCTCAATTTGCACATCAGCTTGTGCTTTTTCCATTGTTAATGGAAATGAGATGGTGTTAATGTTATTGGTTTCCCAATTCCATGCGTCATTCTCCTTGAACACCATATCTCTTGAGATAATTACTTTATGTGACTCAATATTGTAGAGCCTATAGCCCTTTTCACACCTTCCATAGCCTACAAGAGCACACTTGATACTGTTGATTTCAAGCTTGTGTCTTAATTGAGATGGTATTTGTGCATAGCAGATTGATCCGAACACCTTCAAGTGCTTCACACTTGGTTTTCTGCCACTAAATGCCTCAAAAGATGTTTTCTTCTCAAGTGCTTTAGTTGGACACCTGTTTAGAAGATACACAGATGTATTGACAGCCTCACCCTAAAAGAAAAGTGGCATTTTCTTATCATGCAGCATTGACTTGGTCATTTCAACCACAGTCATAATCTTCCTCTCAGCTACACCATTCTATTGTGGTGTGTAAGCCACTGTCAGTTGCTTCTGTAATCCTGCTCCTTCACAGAATTCTTGGACCTCAATTGAAGTGAACTCACCACCTCTGTCACTTCTTAGTCTTTTGATCTTAAGACCACTCTGAAGTTCAACCATCACTTTGAATTTCTTGAAGATTGTAAAAACTTCACTCTTGTTTCTCATAAAGTATACCAAAACCGTCCTGGTGCAGTCATCAATGAATAACAGAAAATATATGTTCCCACTGAGTGTAGGTGTCTTCATTGGACCACACACATCTGTGTGAATGAGTTCTAGAGGTTGGCTTGCTCTCCATGCATTCCAGTTTCGAAAAAGTCCCTGTGATGCTTCCCCAGTATGCAACCTTCACAAGGTTCTTTAGTCTCTGTAGACATCAAAATTTCGGTGAAATGAATGTTGACCAATAATTAAAATTTCAACGCTCACGTATCACATAAATTTTACATGTAGCGTGTGACTCAACGAAAAATCGAAATAAATTGGAAAAGTCATCAAATATGACACGTGTCAATACCTGGCAGAAATGATTTATTTCATCTGATTATTTAAATCCAAAAATCAAGTTTTGGAATTCTATAAATAGGAAGCCAAAGCATTCATTTTTGAAAAAAAAAAAAAAAAAGGAAGAAAGGAAGGGAAGGAAGAGGAATTTACATTACACCAAAACCTTCAAGCGTTGAAACTCTAAAGCTCTCAAGCAAATCCCGAAGGATCAAGAAAGCACTCTTCGTTCTTCGTCAAATCCTCCTTCAAGATCAAGCCCTGACGGCCCTTGAAGAAAGTGTTCATCGTTCATCATCCGTTCATCCTAAGATCAAGCCCCAACGGCCCTTTGGATCAACAACCTCAACAAATCCACACATCCAATTGTTCTTCAAGATTAAGCCCAAAAGCCCTTGAAGATCCGCTCATCCATCAACCTTCAAGATCAAGCCCCAACAGCCCTTGAAGAACTTCCACCAACTCAAGATCAAGCCCCCACAGCCCTTGAAGAAAGTGTTCATCATTCATCATCCGTTCATCCTAAGATCAAGCCCCAACGGCCCTTTGGATAAACAACCTCAACAAACTCGTACACCCATTCTTCAAGATCAGGCCCAACGCCCCTTGAAGATCCATTCATCAACTGTTCATCCTTAGATCAAGCCCCGACGGCCCTTTGGATCAACAACTCATCCACAAACCTACACCCTGCGAAGATAGAATCAGAGGACCAAATTACAAAGAGATTGTAACCCCAAAATCATTAATACAAAATATATATTATGTACACGATATTCTTGTCTCTTGTTTCAGGAATCTTTTCGTGTTTACAGTCTCTTGTAACTCAGGAAGACCAGTCACCATTTGTAATCTCTCCAATCTCTTTAAACTGTGAAAGTTGAGATGTCCAAACCTCTTCTGCCATAACCAAGAGTTTTCTGCAACGCTTGCTTTTAGAGCAATTGAGTCATTGTAATCTAGCATAAATGGAAAACTTTTGTTTCCAGTCATGCCAACTTGTGTTACCAAGTTTTGGAGGCTTCTGTCGTCAAAGATCTCCACCATATTGTCTCCAAAGAGTAAGAAATAGCCATGAGCAATCATTTGTCCTACACTAAGGAGATTCTCATTAAGGCCAGGTACAAGTATCACATCCTTGATGAATCTTCTTCCACCCTTTGTCTCTAGAACAAGAGTTCATTTTCCAGTAGCTTCCACAAGTTGACCATTCCCCATTTTAACTCTGCAATTGAAGCTTCTGTCAATGTTGATTAACAAGGATTCATATGCAGTCATATGATTACTGCATCCACTGTGAATATACCAAATTCCTCTCTTATTTTCAGTTTTTGCAACACTACAAGCATAAAGGACATTTACTTCCTCTTCTTCTGCTCTATGTGCATAGTTGACAGCTTGGTTCCTTCTTGGATTACAATCTTTTGCTAGATGGCCAAACCTATCACATTTGGTGCATTTGGGTTTTCCCTTGAACCAGCAAACACCATAATGTAATTTGTCACAGATTTTACACTTGGTTTTAGTATAATCACTGTTAGTTTCTGATTTTGATTGTGGAGTATGCTTGTTGTCCCATTTCTTCCCTTTTCCTTTCCAGAATTTCTTTTGATTTGAGTTGTTCCCCTGAGCCTTGTAACTGCTATCTTTCTCAGTCACACTTAGGCTGGAAAAAGCCTTTTCAGCTAAGCTTTCAGAGTGCATGTTTAACCTCTGCTCATAGCCTTTCAATGTGCCAATCACATCCTGAACCTCAATAGAGTCAAGGTCCTTAGTTTCTTCTATAATAGATGCGATGGAATCATAGGATTTAGGCAAGCTAATAAGTATCTTCTGCACTAATCTTTGGTTTGATAATTCTTCACCAAGAGTTTTCATTTGATTCACAATGTCAGTCATTCTTGTTAAATAAACAGATAGAGCTTCACCATCATTCATCCTAGTGTCCTCAAAATCTCTCCTTAAACATTGTAGTTTGACAGATCTAACCTTTTTGTCACCACGAAATTCTTGTTGAAGAACATCCCACGCAGTCTTGGAGGTTTCAAAGTTTGAGATTCGAGGAAAGATCTCGTCAGACACTGCCCCTTGAATGATACCAAGAGCTTTTGCATCTTTGGTTTCATTAATCTTCATTGAGCTCTTCACCGACTTTTGATCTTCATCACTAGACTCATCTCCAGGTTCTGTGATTTCAATACCCTTGTCCACCAAATTCCAGAGATCATATGATTTGAATATGGTCTTCATCTTGATGGACCAAAAATCGTAGTTAGACCTGTTAAAGATAGGAGCCCTCAGATCTCCTCCACTGCTCGAAGTAGCCATGTGAGACTTTGTAAGAACATATGAGGTTTTAAAAAAAAATCTGGGATTGAGTTTCCCTCTTTTTCTTTTCAGAGATACGAAGCACACAAAACGCCCAGTCCTGAAATTGATCAGAACCTAAGCTCTGAGGCCATGATAAATTCTGTGCTTTTAATTTGAAGTTGGTATTTTCCGGAAATTGTTAAAGAGGAGAAGAAGAGATTTCAGAGAAATGTGCAGAGCTCCTACTGAGAGCAAGCACAGATATTTTCATTAAATATCAACACAACACTTTTCTCTTACAAGCTATATCAGCCCTTGATTCATAAACATAAATCTAAAGCATACACTTGTCCTATGAGACTAAGCATTCACTTAACTGTTGGTTCCTTCCTTCTCAACCATTAGATCAAAACCAAATTTTATTTAATTCCAACAGGGCAGCTATACCTTGCGACAACATAGTTTGGCGGCACAGAATGGCATCCAAGGAAAAAGGAATAATGGGTCTGGTCCATAATCCCCGACCGGAGAGAACCCCCCTCCTTGCTTCTCGATAGATCTCCCCTTTTTTTTCTCCTTCTTTTATATTTTGTTTTATTTTTAATTTTCTTCTTCTCATCTTTCCATCTCAATCGTCCATCTCTATCTTTCTTTCAATCACAGCCACACATGTGGCACAAGACTGATGCTCCAACAAATCTGGAGCTTCTAGATTTATGATCAAATGACCAATTTGCCCTCAACTTTGTTCGTTTATAACTCCTTCGTTAAAACTCCAAATTACGTTCCGTTTGCATCCACGCGTTCATATCGATACGTACTATCCAAATATGCAAAGAAATCTGAAAAATTATGGAAAGGTCAAGTATGTCCACAAAGAATCTCATTTAACACAATAGGGGCAATTTCGTCCTTTTACTTGTCGAATAAAATTTTTATACGCCGTAAATATAAACGCGCCAAAACTACTAATATGAATATGAAATATGGAATACATAATTCTAAATAGTAACATCCGGGGACGGGATTTCACACTTTTAGTCATAGGTCCACCATAGAAAGCCATATTTTGTCAAATTTTAGAAGCTCTGTTACCTTTCCCAGTGTTGTAGTATCGATTCCCTTTAGTAAACCCATTTTACATTTCCAAAGATCACAACCCCAGTAAAACACAAAGAGAAGTGGTTGCGAGAAGACGAACCTTGCCTGACAAGGCCATAATCTTGCCCGAGTCTCTTTTGTTTGTATTCACATAGAGTAGATTTGTTGTTTTATGCATTTTTCATTATATCTTACATCATTTTCGACTACTTTTCGTTCAAAGTTGCATCTATGATTAATCTTGTTGAACTAATTAACCTTGCTTCTTTAGTGTTAGCCATAACCAAAGAGATAATCTGAAGGCCCTGAACTCCCTTTAATTGGACATATGGTATTATGAGTAAAAGTCCTTGTTTACAAGGCAAGAAAAAGAACTTTATACAAACTTAACCCATTTGTAACAATCCAATAGAATCAAGAAGTCTAAGTAACTTGTTGCACAATTAATCAACCTAGTTAATAACCAAAAAAGAACAAATCTGTTATACAAAGATAACAGTGGCACATTCAGATCCATATTAGTTTGGATTGTAAGCCTCAAGGCCTAACAAAGGTCCCACAAAGGCACCATTCAAACTAATAGCAAACTCATATTGCAGTACATCAAGCAGCATACCTTGCCCCACAAGCAAAACCCAGGAGAGTTGTGCGAGGGACAGATCTAGTCCGAACAATAAGTACATGCTTGATTGAACAAAGCAGCTTAACCTTATAATAATCTCGATTATTCTGTTGTCCAACAGGTAGGGGATGTTTCTTGCATTCTGTTTCCCCGTGGTTAGTAGGTCCACATTTAGGACAATACTTGGTAACATGACATTTGATAGGGGGCGCCGAATTACCACAATAGACACCATCGTGCATGAAATGAAAACAAGAGTATCACAAGAGATACAAATTTTATCAAAGTGTTTGTCAATAACAACGTCCATTGGGACATAATAATTATCATCGTGCAAATTATAATACGGGCAAGGTAAAGTGAGGTGGCTGCCAACTTCCAAACATAATTCACATCGCTCTGGCTTCAATACTTGGTAAGGTTTGAGTTGTCTCGTTAATTCTCTAACAGCTTGTAAAATTTTATCATTTCGGTCTGTTTGTTTGCAAGGTGCTGCTGCATCTACGGCTTGAATTTTTCCATGGATGGCTATAGCTAGCTTGCTTCGTCCTGTGAGAACAAGATTAGATTAATATTGTCGGAGGATGAGGGAGTTAGAGTTGGAGTGAGTTGACTTTTATGTGTAATTAAGGGGATTTTGTTCCTTGCTTGAGTCCATATCTTACCTTGTACATCAAGTCTGTAATATATATATATATATATATATTGCCTCCTTGGTAAGAAGAATAATATTAGAGAATTGAAATCTCAAAATAAGTCTAAATTAGCATGGTATCAGAGCAGAGATCCTAGGATTTATGCTCTACCTGTTCCTTTTAGAAAAAAAATTTTGAACTCCCTCCCGTGGAGAATCTGCCGCCCCTTTATGGTGAAATTCCCATCACTGATTCCACCTTAACTGATATTATACGTACTACTACCCTAAACACTGCTAATCCTGATCCTACCATGAACCCGATGACTCTACCACAAGTTGTAACACAAATCGTCCTTCATTCATCTACTACTACTACTACCCCCCTCTTAAAAACTGCTAATTTTGATCCTACCATGAACCCGATGACTTTACCACAAGTTGTAAATGGTGCCAATTATGGAGTTTTGTCTCAAATTGTCGAGATGTTCGTTGCGGGTAAAGACAAGTTGGGATACTTGTTCAGAAGTGATCCTCAACCCCCTACTGAGATCCAACCTTCACTAAATGGTGCACAGAGGATGTCATTGTGAAAATTTGGCTAATTAATCATATGGAACCCAATTTAATTGGGTATTTTCTCCGACTACCGAATGCAAATGAAATGTGGGATGCAGTCGCATTCATGTACTATGATGGCTTTGATATTTCTCAAGTTTACGATCTTACCTGCAAGCCCTCTCGCATGAGGTAAGATGGGCGACTAATAGAAGCATACTATAATGACCTTGAATCCCTATGGCAAGAAATTGATTATCGGAGACACAATCTGATCATGTGTATACTTTGCTTGCCGGATTAGACGAAATGTTCGATAAAATTTGTAGTTATATTCTACATACTGAGCCTCTTCCCACTGTCGAACAAACCTTTTCCTATGTTTGAAGGGAAGCTCTGCGACATGTGATGATGAATAATGAAGGAACGTTAAGTAGTGGGGCTGCCATGGTGGCTCGCCCAGCAGTGCGAGCCCTTCCTTCTCTAAGTTCCCATCTTTGAGCCTAAGAGAAACCCACTGCATGGATCTCAAGGCTGCAATGCCAAGCCATTACCTCGAGCCCAGCACAGGGCTTTCTTTTTGCTGCCAAAACATCCACACGGCCCAGCACAGGCCCACAGCCTCCTCAGACAAAGCCGCTAGTTCCCATAGGGGGCTGCACCTTTTATGGCAGTGAGAAATATGGGCATGATCGGTGTTTTCAACTGCATGGCTATTTTGAATGGTAGGAACCCTTAAGCTTCAAGGACAACAGGAATTAGAGGAGCAAGCCACTAAGCAAGGACAAGAAAATCTCGCAACCTCGATGTCTCAATTATCTTTAATATCTCAGGATTATCCTCCTGCTGTTTCTAGTTCCACCGCAATTCTCTGAAGTCCTTCTATGCCTTAAATGTGAATAATGATAATACTCAGTGTGGTTGGATTATAGACTCCGGTGCTACGGACGATATGACTTATGACCCTTATGATCGAACATGTGATACCATCCCAGTGTGACGTAATATCACCAATGCCAATGGTGTAACCTCTCCCATTACTGGTGTTGGCACTATGCATCTTACTTCGTCTCTCTCTTTACCTAATACATTACTTGTGTGCCTTTAGTGAAGCATAAATTGATGTATTTTGGTCAAGCTACTTTTCAATTGAATTGTTGTGTACTAATGTATCCGAAGTTCTATCTTATCTAGGATATTCTCACGAATGAGATCATTGGTCGTTGTACTAAGAAGGGGAATCTTTATTTTGTGGATCATGTCAGTACGGGCTGAGTTAATCTAGTCCAAGGGACAGTGGATCACAAGCGTCGTCAGCTATGGTTGTGGCATCACTGCTTGGGTCATCCGTCTTTTAGTTATTTACAACATATGTTTCCGCTTTTGTTTGTTGGATGTTCTATTTTTTATTTTAAGTGCGAAACCTTCATTCTTGCTACGAGTCACTGTGTTTCTTATCCATTGGGTTCTAATAAAAGCATTATTCCATTTGGACTGATACATTCTGGTGTTTGGGGACCATCTCCAATTACTACTTTGTTTGGTATTCGATGGTTTGTGATTTTTGGGGTTGATTGCACATGGATAGCCTGGCTGTATCTTCTTAAGAATAAAAATGATGTGTTTTCGGCTTTTAAAACACTTCATACCATGGTTTAGACTTAGTTTTCTACTAAAATATGCATTTTGCATTCTAACAATGGTGGAGAAAATGTTAATCATGATTTCACCCATTATTTGACTAATCAGGGTATCCTTCATGAAACTACTTAGTCTTTAGACCCCTCAACAGAATGGGATGGTTGAGCGAAAAAATCAACATCTCTTAAAAACTGTCTGGCCCTTGTTAATTGGCGCGCATGTTCCATGTTCCTTTTGGGATGTCGCAATTCAAACTGCTACATCTTATCAAACAGATGCCGTAAAAAATCTTGGATTTTTTAACACCCTTATAATCTCTTGCTCAATTAGAGCATCTGATGTCCTTATAATCTCTTGTTCACCTTCATAAAAATCAACGGACGAAACTTGATCCTTGTGTTTTTTGCTGTATTTTTATAGGGTATGAGGTGCATCCAAAAGGATACCGTTGCTACCATCCTT